TATATATATCTATATATATATATATATACAAGTTTAATATATTTGGATACCTATTAGCTCCATATTCAAAATTGAAATCCATGTGCTCAATCCTTTTCGAACCCATCCTAAACTTAATCAAATGATTAAACGATTATATTTAAAGCCCAAACTACCTCTAAAATTTTGTTCATACTTGGGAAAATACCTTTCTATAGCCATTATCCAAGTGTATAGCCAGAAAAGATCCTCATCATAACTTCAAAATAACCATACTTGTAAAATCTCCTAGTGTTTGACAAGCTTTTTTGCTTCTCCTCTCTTCTTGAGAGAGAACCTTGAAAGGGAGCCATTTTTAGAGCATTTTACATTCAAGTGAAGATTGAAGAAGTACTCTAGCAGTTAAGCTTGTTGCTTGTGAAAATGGAGAAGAATTTTATCCACAAAATAGATAAATCTCTTCTCCTCTTTTTATTTTGTTAATTGTACTTATGTTCTCGTATTACAAATTGGTTTCAAAGCTTTAGATTTGTTGGTGAAATCTTTGTTTAGAAAGCTTGGGATAAGCTTGTTGATTGAGAAAATGGAGAAGAATTTTATCCACAAAATAGATAAATCTCTTCTCCTCTTTTTATTTTGTTAATTGTACTTATGTTCTCGTATTACAAATTGGTTTCAAAGCTTTAGATTTGTTGGTGAAATCTTTGTTTAGAAAGCTTGGGAGCTTTTTAAAATCCAAGGATTTTTCTAGATGGTGGATGAATGCGGTTGGTGCTGAACGATTTGAAATATTTTATATGCTTTACTTTCTTGTTTTTTTCACTGTGTATTTTATTCTATTTATTTGCTTATTTATGTCATTGATCTTAAATTCACATTTTTTAAAACAATGGTGAAATAGATGGGGACATTATTAGTAGAATTGAAGTTGGATGGTTGAAGTGGAGGAATGCTTCGGGCATGTTGTTTGATAGAAAAATATCCCTTCAAACTTAAGGGAAAATTTTATAGGATGATGGTGAGACCTGCAATGCTTTATGGCTTAAAATGTTGGTCATTAAAAGAGAAGATAATTTTTTTTTAAGTATTTTAGAGATGAGAATGCTCATGGATGATTGGCTTTGCACTTAGGGATGGAATGTGAAACGATTCAAACGAGTATATGCACGAAAAAGTTAAGAGTAGCTCCAGTGGCCTATGAGATTAGAGAGAGTTGCCTTTTATGGTTTGGTAGCATAAAACGTCGCCCTTTTGATGATCCTGTTAAGAGAGTAGATGTTTTAGATCCGACCTATGTTAAGAAAGGTAGAGGTAGAACTAAAAAGACTTAATTAAAAATGATTTTTTTATTTGATTTAAATAAGAATTTGACTCTTATTAGGACAATAGATAAAAAAGATTCATATAGCCGACCCCATGTAGTGGGATAAAGGCTTGTTGATCTTCTTGTATTTTAAATTTACATTCATCACTCAAATCACATGTGCTATCTAATCCTATTATTGAGATATTTAACTATTCTTAAGAATGTCAATGAAAGTTTTAATTATTATATTCTCAACATTGTTTCTATCCAATAAGTCTTCTATTTCGATCAAACATTTTTTGAACACTTTTTCGAGACTGTAACAAGATTGACATTGGAGGCTTCCTTTGTGGTGTTGTTTGTTCTCAACATCTTACATTCCATTTATATCTTCACATCTTTTATCAACAACTCCCCTTGTAGTTTCCTGTTAGGTTTTCTATTTGGTCATGTTGTTTTGTTGTGTTTATTTCAAGAATTCCTTATTCTATTGAAATCAATAAATTATGCTGCAGTGCTTGCTTTTTGAGAATTATAATATGATTTTTTTAGTTATTGTAAATAGGATCCAATCGAAAGTAGAGGAATTGTATGATGAATGATTTTTTTTTTGGATATGCAAAATCCTTCTCCTTTTTAGATATCATTCCTTGATCAAATATGAGACTTGAATTTTAGGAATTTATCTCCTCTTACGAAAGTTTAAAGCCTTCTTTTTTGGCAGCTTCTTTCTCTTTTATTTCTTTTTCCCTCATACACTTTTCATTATTTGTTGAAAGTGAGAATGTATTTAGACAAATTTGCTATTATATTGATTTCCTTTGGTTGTGTAAATTCAATTATGTATATGGATTTTGTTATTTTGTATTTTTGTATTTTTGTTATAATAAGGCCATGCGTCTGTTTTTTGAATTGGATGCTCTCTTTCCCTTCTTTCATTGAAGGTAAGTATGTAGTTGTCTTGTATTAATAGTTGTGTTACGAGAATATATTATGCTTGTTTTGTTTTTTTCTACTTCACATATTCAATTTGTATTAGAAATCTTAGACCCTAATCGTCCTATATGGTATGTCTACTGGGTGACAGAAGCTCCTTCAAAATTCATATATTTTCAAATTCTTGGGATAAATTTTGAATTATATTGAGTTGTACGGAAACATTTTAAGGCTGTCAAATTTGCTAATCCCCATAGTTTCATGTTGCATGTCCTTTCGTTTATTTCAAGAATTTTGCTGTTGTATTTCATCGCCATGCTTGAGAAAAAACATTATGCTTGTGTACTAAGAAGCTGATTTACACTTTTATCCAACCTTATACCTCTTTCTTGCTCCTCTCTCTTTCAAAAATTGTTTCGTTTCTTCTCTTCCCCTAATTTATGTCATTCCAGCTGCTTCTCGGTCACGTTTGATTGTTCTTTGTTATTCATCTTATGCTTTCTATTGCAGATCATTTTTCTCTCTGATTTTGCTTATGCAATATCTCAAAAATGTTTTGGGTGTTCAGAACAATTTCAAAAAAGGAACGTGTTTCTTCTATGGAGAATTATGATTGCTTCTCTTTTATAAGTTTGATTTGTTTTCTTGTTCATTTCTTTGCCAAGTATCCTTTCTTATTTAGGGCAGTAGCACTTTTTTGGAATTTTATTTTATATTTGCATCTTTGTAGGTCAGAGATGCGTGCTTAAGATGGATCATCATTGCGTATGGGTTGTCAACTGTGTTGGTGCGCGCAACTATAAATTCTTTCTTCTATTTCTGGTATAACAGAATTCTTTGTTTTCTGTTCGTTATAGTTCTATACCAACTTGGAAAGCTTCGTTAATGCTGCCATACGGTTGCATGTTTTCATAAATGACATTTTAAACCTCAGCATACTCGGTGGACATTAAATAGATTTCTAGCAAAGTCTTCATCATTTTATTATTGGAATGACATCATTGGTCCAACTTATTTTCAGAGGAACCAAAAAAAGTTATCTTCTAGCATATCTTGCAGTGAAACAGGAAAAAAATAAGGAGAAGATTAGCAAAAAATAAATTTATAGTTAAGGTAGCAACAACGTTTTACAAGGCGAAATCGGGAATCGAGGCGTTTTGGCTAAAGCAAGGCGAGGCGTAAGCTTAAAAAATGATAAAAATAAAGTAATTTAAAATTATGAATAATGACAAAAAATAACAAAATATTATGTCAATTATGAATTTAATGATTTGTTCAAAGATAATATTAGTATATTACTGGAAAAGAATATTTAAAATAAACTCACTTAAAAATAAAACATCCATTTAGGATCAAGACCCAATGCAGGCTCATCATCACTTTGATTGTCTTCAGAAGAATCTTCATAATTAATGTCAAAGTCATCCTCAAACTCTTCTTCATCTATAATATTTTTTCATTAATCCCCCATATCAGTTAATATTTTATTAGCTCTAGAATGAAATAATAATAGCATAAAAAATAATTCATTATATTTAAGAATATATTTGAATTTTTTTGAAGCTCCAATCTCACTTTGTTTCTTTCTTTTATATATATGAGTAGTTGATTCATTGTCTTCATTTACATGAGTTTTTCCTTCTGCTTCAACTACAGAAACATCAACATTATTAGGAGTAATCCATTCATCATCAAATTGTAAATCATCAACAAGTAAAATGTCAATTTCATTATCAATGCTTCCCTGCTTCTATAATTTGAGATGTCTATCTTTCAGTTTTTTGTTAAACATAACATAAACTAGTTTGTTCATTCAATCTGTCACCAATCGATTTTTTCTCTTAGTACGAATTTGATTGAAGATGCTCCAATTACGTTCGCATGCAGAAGCCGAACATGTCAGGCTAAGAACTTTAACTGCAAAAACTTTTAATTCAGGAACATCATCTCGAAACTGACTCTACCAACGTTCTACATGAAAATGAATAGTATTTTATGAATATTGATTGAAGTAGAAGACTTGAACATAAATATTAAAATTAAAATTATAAATATATAAATTATAAACATACCAGGAGATCGTGTTTTGTAGCATACTTGTGCTGCTCTACCAAAATGAATCATTTTTCATAACAATTTTTTTTACCTATTTTCCTTCTTGTTTTTTTATCCATGAATTTTTATCCTATTCTTCAGAAGCAAGCATAACTTTCAAAGGTTGCCTTAACTCTTTGAATCTCTACAATGTTAAATATGCAGTAGCAAATCTTATAACAGCATGTATAATAATTTCCTTGTTAGTGAATTTTCTCATCAAATTGAGTTCCCAAGAATGATTGTATATGAACTTACTAATAAATTTGGCCTTCAATAGGGCTGATTTATGCTAAGGCAACTGTCCCAGCCTCTCAAGCATTAAATCAATGCAATGTGCGGTACAATGAGTCCACTAAAGGTGAGGCCTCTTCTCCATTACCATTCTCCCTGCAGCTTTATATGCACTTGCATTATTAGTAACAACTTATACTACTAAAGCATCACCCACTTCCTTAACAACTTCATCCAACATTTCAAACAATAATTGTGCATCCTTTACAAAACTTGAAGTATCCACTAATTTTAGAAAAACTGTTCCATATGGATTGTTGACCAAAAAATTAATAATACTTATATGTCGAATATCTGACCAACCATCTAACATTATTGTGACTCCTGTCTCAATCCAAGTCTTCTTAATATCATTCACCATTTTTGAAGTTGTATTGACCTCCTTATTTAGCATCCAAGTCCTCAGTTCATACATGCTTGGAAGTTGTAGTCCTCTTCCATAGCTTCCAACATATTGTAACATATTGATCCATGACGGACTCCTAACACCATTAAATGGAATCCCATTTTCATAGATGAATCTAGCGATATCCAAACAAACTCTGTTCCTGAGTTCTTTTGTAGCAGTAGGAGGCTCAAGATCCTGAGTGTTTATGTTATCCTCGTTATCAATATTCATCATAAATCTATCCATGGAACCCCGAGTGCCTCGGTTAGAAGAAACTAGATTGCTTGCACTACTAGAACCTTCATGCTGTGATCCATAGTAAGAAGTGTTTCCTATCATCTATTCCATATTTCTTTATGTGACCTCTTTTATGGTGGCAAACTTCTTTAAATAATATGTACATTCCTTTTTCACCTCATCAGGTACTTTTGCACATGTTCCCACATTGACATGAGTGCATGCTAGATGATCCTTCAACCTCTTGACGCCATCAGTTATGCATTTCTCATAGAAATTACATTTCATGTAAACATATCCCTTCTTTGCACCTTCGCCTGACACTTCAACTTGAGTTTCATATTTCCATACAGGATCTTTCCTTCTTATGCCACTAGTCATGCTAATAATTTATAGAAATAAATAATCAACATCAAATTAATGATATATACAAGATTTTTATTTATTCACAGGCAAAGAAATCACAACACAAAATCAACAATATGACAGATTTTAACAATTATTTGTACTTCCAATAATAAGACAACATGAATACAACAATATACTGGTCTGCCGGGGGTCCAAGGGGGCGTTGCCCCCTGGCAGGATTCGACCTTGAAATTCTGCTTGTTTTTAAGTTTGTAAGTTGTTTGTATGGAAAGATACCGAGCGGTACCGAGCATGTACCACTACATGCTCGGTTCTGAGCATATACTGCTAGGTATCGCTAGGTACTGCTAGGTATCACTAGGTACATGCTTAGTACTACTAGGTATCGCTAGGTACATGCTCGGTACCGAGCATGTACCTAGCAGTATCGAGCATGTACTGAGCAGACGAATGAAAGAAAGCCGAATCAGGAGTTATTCAAGCTTTCGTTACTGCACGTCAAAGTCAAGGTCCACAACACTGCTCATCTGCTCTTCCGACCTAACCAAGGCCCGAACGTTTCTTGCACTCACAACTTCGGCTTCGTTTCCTTCTCTCGAAACCATTATTGCTTTCGGCTTCGTTTCCTGCGTCGTCTCCTTCCGACTTCGTCTCCTGCACTCACGGCTTCGTCTCCTTCCCAAGGTATCGTCGTAAGGCTGGTATCATTGTCTGTATTCTTTGAACCAAGTTCAGTAATCCTGTCTATATTCACAATGGTCACTTGAGTTAGACATGCTAATTAAGGTTTCGTTTGGGACATCTTTCTTACGGCTTTTTAAAGCAGCTTCTAGTTAAAAAAAAATTGTATTAAAAAGCTGCTTTACAAAGCAATAAGAAAGATGTCCCAAACGAAACCTAAATTTGCATTTTGCATGTTACTTCAAAGCATATGAGTTTTTCCTATTTGTATTTTCTCTACAAGGCCTGGTGATAAAACTCGAGCATATGAGAACATTGTACGACTTTGAAAAACTTCAAACTTTTTGGAATCTTTTATTGAGGAACATTTGTGATGAAAGAAACTGGCTGTCGGGAATTATAAGCATTGTTATGCTAGTCTAGATAATGTGAAGTAAACTAGTTATTATCAAAGGATGGCAAACAGCCAAATTGGCTTAAGCTTGTAAAAATTAGTGCGAGTGTTTAGACCTATCAAATTGGGCTCAGGCCTTCGAATTCTGTCCTAGCCAAACATAACTTATTTATGCCAACGAAAGATTGGCAAACAAAATTTATTTATTTCAGCAAAAAACTGAAAGTCTGAAACTTTTATTACTAAATAGTATTTTTGGTGAAATTGGAGACATTATGATAGGACTTGATGATCAAAACATCACACAACAATATAAAAGAACAACAACTTTTTCCAAATAGATCTAGAAATAACACAAACGGAGCTGTTTTTTTTACTAATTTCCAAACAAAGCAAGATAAGATACAAGTTGATTCATTGTTAAAGAGGTGAATCGTCTCTCTCACAATTCCTAGCAGCTACTAGGAACCCAAATACCTCCAAAAATTAATGCAGAAATTCAAAACATAACATAAAAACCCCCATTCCACTATAATCTCCCCTATTAAGCCGCTCAAATCCCCTAATAAATGTACCTTACATCTTTACCAAAGAGTCCCCTCTTTTCCAAAGAGTTCTTCACAAAGCCTCTTCTCCTATAGGTGATTAAAGAGGTCCTGGGCCCCTCCTGGGCCCCACCTGGGCAGCTGGACTGCTTCTGCCAGCTGCATCACATTAACATCCAAATGTTAGTTTGGTAAAAATGTTTGTTAGTAGTTTTAAGTATTCTTTCAGTTGAATTTATTATTTTCTTACAAGTGACACAAGCTATGTACATAGGATTTTGGTTGAAATTTACAAAAGTAGTGTGGCTAGCTGCTTGTTGCTAAGCACCATCCTGTTGGGTGAGCTTTCCTGAGTTAATTGTTATCTTTTCAGTTTTATACTTTCCTTGAGACAGTCTTGGATTCTCTTGCACTTCTTCCACATTTTATAAAATTCTTTGGAGATGCTCGTAACCATTCTGGCTCACCTGGAAATCTTGCTGTCACCTTTCTTTCTTTTGGTAAGCCTGGTTGAAGCTATAGGTCAAATTTCTGCACGGACGCTGTTCTCATGGGCTCTTCATTCTTTATGCAGTGCTTAATGTGGCCTTCGCACTGAGTCTACTTTGTTTTGTGGTTATGCACACATCTCTGGTATTAAGCAATACCACCACTATAGAGGTACCTACCTGTTAAATCGCTGCGCTGAATATTAAGTTTTTCGCTGTGGCTATTCATATTTTTTGTATGATGCTTACCAGAGTTATTTTTGTTGAAATCATTTCCGCTTGATAAGTTCAGCATATGCTTGACAACAAGCATGCAAAATGTGACCATGTAAGGTTTATTAGAAAATAATTCATTTTTTAATCTGTATATGCTGGACCTATGCTTTTCACACCGAATTGGGAATCTAGCTTTCGGGATTGGCTTGACTTTCTCACCTTAAAGGGGGGACTCGCTACTTGCTAATGAGCTTGCTAAAGGTTTTTTCGCAAATTGAAACGTTTGCGTGGTAGAACCTCCAGCAGAGGCAAAGATTAGTGAGCATAATCGCTTTATGCTAGCTTGCTCACTTTGTTCTGTTACCTTGTGCACAAAAACTCATCTCTTGGAAGCAAAGTTTCATAGCCCGTTCAGAAGCGGAGTATCGCGCTATGGCGATTTGAGTATGAGTAGTTGAGATAGTTGAGATGCTTTTTCTATGAAATGGGTATAAGTCCTCATCCTCACCCACACCTATGTTTTGCGACAAGGCAATAGCTTTCCTTTTTCCATAACTCGGTTTGGAATGAAAGGAAAACTTTTCACTTTCTTCGAAAAGAATTTTTGCTTTTCTTCGAAGAAACTCTCGCCTTGAACTTATGCCAGTACATTTCAACGCTTCGCACCTTTCTTTACAAAAACATATTTTCACCCGTTCTTTGTTCAGGTTTATGAGAAGAAGAAAGCGGTTGAGTGGAAATACGACCTGGGGAAGAGGAAGAATTTTGAGCAGGTACCTTATTCGACTTGGAAACTTTAATATATTCAATTTCCTGATTGTTTTCCCCGACCTGTGTTTCAGGTTTTTGGCTCAAACAAATTGTTTTGGTTCTTCCCATTGTTTTCAAAGAATGATTTACATGATGTGCCTGCACTACATGGCTTGGACTTCCCTACCCATTCAGATATTGAAGTGTGAGAACTGGTAAGATCAAACGAATATCTTACATGTGGGTTGATTTTTGAATTCTGTACAGATGTGTAGCAATACTAGTGGTGTACTTAGACGTTGAAGTAGATTTAATTTATTCTTCCTGGAGCTAATAAAATCTCTTCGATGTTTAATACTATCACTTCTGTTCTTCAATTCTTAAAACTGCCACTCAGTTTCATATAAGTCTTCTTAATCAGCTCTCCATTTCTCTTAGTTATTAACTGTTTATAGTTTCATAGTTTATCACCTCCCAAAGATTTCTAGTGAAATTTCAGTGGGTAATTTCGTTCTTGTACCTAAAGCAAATCTTAAGGGTCCATGGCGCTAATTTGTCTGCTCAAATTGGCTCTTCAATTAGCAGAAGCTTGATCATTATCAAACAAAATGATTCTAGAAACATTTAAATGGTCATAATTTGTGCAGTGATGATCTAGAAAATAGTTACTTTGTGATCTTTCTTTTGGATAACTTCCTGTTGCAGGAAATAGTGCAAATCCTTGATAGCTGAATGTCTTTGTATTTTGAACTGTGGAGATGTCATGAATTTTAAACGAGGCACGACCCGAAAGAAGCAATAACCATACATACCTTTCGTGAACCATTCTTGTTAGTGATTTTATACTATCAAGTATCCTTAGATTTTGTTTGGGACAGCTTTTGATCACAATTTTTTAGCTGCTTTAAAAAATAATTTACTAAAAAATATTTTAGAAAATATTAATAAAGTTATGCCAAATGAAGCCTTAAACTTCATTTGGGATAATTTTTACCATTTGTTTATTGCTTTCAAATAATTTTTGTATTATAAAGTTATAGAAAATAGTAATAAAACTATTCCAAATGAAGCTTTATGGTTTGTTTGGGATGATTGCAGTTTTTTATAAAGATGATTGTAAAATAATTATGAAGAAAATATTTTTTTAATGGTGTAGAAAATAACTTCTTGGCACAAAAATTTATTGAAAGTTGCTAAATAAAATTTGTGATTGCGATTTGAAAATCGAAACAATAAGAAAATTCTTCCAAATGAAGCCTAAGTTTTGTTTGGGATGATTTTCTTATTGTTTCATAAAGTAATTTTTTAAGTACAAAAATTTTATTTTTGTGTTAAAAAATTACTTTAAGAAATAGTAAAAAAGTCTTCCCATATGAAGCCTTAGTCTCAGAGTTAGGAGTAGTTGCAAGGAAATGGTAATGGAACTGATGAATTAATTGAATTTAGAACTGTTTTATTCTATATGGAATTTTGCTGCCAAAAGAATTTTTTTACCAGAAATATATTGTTGAATCCCTTCTTTAAATGTGGAATATCTAACGTATTCATTTTATGGGCTGTTATATTTAGGAGATTTTTATAGATATTTTTGTAAACTTTAAGAGGGTTTGTAATATCTTGTGGTATTTCTATTTTATTTTTATTTTTTATATAAAGAGAAATTTATATGGAGGATGGCCTTTGAATACAAGGCTATCATTGTGCTTGATTGTAAGAATTATTAGTCAAATTGGGACAAAAGTCGGTCTTAGTGATCTTACAGTACCAAAGTGGAAGGGTCATCAGCCAACAATGAAAAAAGTTGCTATTGAATAATTGTTTGATCTTCCTCAAGACTTAGTTCATTCATGGGAGAATTTTTTTTTTTTTTTTGAATGTTAGGGTCTTCAAATATGAGCCACCAAGAGGAATTTCTTCGCATCTATCAATGAGCTGCACACACGAGCTCTCCATGGGACAATTTGAAATCCCGTAAAATATGACGTAGAACTCGCACTTCTCTCTCTCTTTCTAGCTCTCTATCTCTCTCTTCAAAATAAAATATAAAATAAATGCCATCTCTTTGATTGAAAAAAAAAATTATTGGGGAAAAATTGGGGCATGTTCAACATAATTTAATAATCATCAAAATTCAGTCACATCAACACTAACCCACACGTTAAGACTTAGAAGCTCATTAAATTATTTATTACTGATCATTCTAATATATTATCTTTATGATGAGCGTAACATGTAAGACTGAGAATCATAAACTTTGTTCTTCCAATTTGCTTACGTTTCTTTTCAACTTACGGTAAGTTAACGTGTGGCTCAGTTCATGGAGAATAAATAATTACATTCACTAAGAATGGAAATTGTGGGAACTAAGGATATAAAAAACACGCATAAATTACATTTATATTAGCATTCTCTACAATGTTTAAACATATATAATAGCTTAGGTATAGGCAGAGGGTTTAGAAACGATTGAGATTATTATTAAGTATACTATTTGCATTGATTCTCAGTATGTATCAGAAAGAGATGAAGTGCGCGGAAGCAAGTCAAACTGTCGGGGAAGTAGAAAATGGTGAAAGGTTTGGCGTCGAAAGACCCGCTGCGATGGCGGCGGTTGCGATGAGCATGGCAGGGGCTGGATTGTTGGGGTGGTGGGTGTGGGCGTTTCGCCCGTTGCATCAGCAGATGTGGATGGTGCCTGCCAGTCTTGTCATGTTTGGGACGCCTATCGTCGTCTTGTTTTCAAGTATCTTTGCTACGATATAATTGTTATTATTAACTATACCGATATAGAAGGGTTGTGTTCAAATTAGACTAATGAGATAGCTTCAAGATAGGAGTATAGGATCTTGAATTAAATCCTTATTTGAATTCAAATTGATTTATATATTATTGCAACTTATTTTCTTATGAATCAAAGTAGTTCATATCTAAAAGTGGATAATGATGAGTTCTTTCTAAATTGGGTATATGTTGCTTTGTTATCATCGAATAAATGGCTTTCCTTAATGAATGAGTTGAGTTTGGCTTAACTAGGTGAGCAATTTGAGCTAAAAAGAGGAGGCTTAAGGTAAGTGAGCAATTAATGAAATTGTTAAGCAAGTAAAAGAAGAGAGATGATGATAATACAATCATTAGCTTTTTTATTTAAGAACCATAAAAAAATTACCAACTATTAAGTCATCTCTTCTGCATTAGAATCTCTAGTTTATTCTTAACAGGAATGGATCCAGTCTTATTTTTTAGGGTAGTAAAACTCATTATATAAAAAATTTAAAATATATATATAAGTTAATATTCTAAGCAATGTCTTGTATTTTTATTATAATTTATGAATTAAAAAAATAATTATAAACTTTGCATTTTCTGATAATGTTGCATAATGATTTTATTGAGAACGGAGTCAAATACTTCATTCTCAATGTATAATACTAGATAGTTATTGAGCAATACATCACCTATTTTGCGATGTAATCAATGTTTGATAATCTTTATTGCAAAAAATAATATTCCCACTATAGCAATAGCAATTAGATCAACAGGTCATGATCGTATTTTTTAAAAATGGAGGATGATAATGTAAAATGATATATTACCTATGTGCTTGGCTGCATATCTAAATAAAAATAAAATGGCATCACAAATTAATTATAATGTTTAGATAAGTGCATGATCTTATTTTTAAAAATGGACTAATTAATTTAAGAAAAGTATTATTTATTTGTGTTTGTAAAAAGTTTTATTGGATCAACGGGGGTGTAAATAAGTCAAATTGAATGGGTTTCTATCTAATTGAGAGCTAAGCTTGTTTCGTTTTTATGAGTTTGAGCTCAGCTCGATTGCTCAAACTCTTTGGAAAGCTCGAACTTGAGCTTGATTTGGTTGTTGAGCTCGAATTTCTTTATTTTAAATTAATTTTTTTATTTTTATTATAGAATTAATTTAAAAAGGTTAAAATATATTATATAATGATAATTTAAATTAATTTTTAGAAATATTTTAAGTTACTCGAGCGGCTCAACAAGTTTATGAGCTGAGTTAGGCAGAGCTCGAGTTTGAACTCATAGCTCGATAAACTTAACTTGTGAGCTCGCTAATGAATCGAGCTCGAACTGGCTCAGTTGAATTACACCTATTTACAAAATGTTCGTGGGGTTAGTTTTCTATAAATTTTTTAATTATATTATTAAAAAAATATTCACAGCTCACTCTCGAACCAGAAGGCTAATCAGTCTTTTGCTCAATTAAGGGACCGCTCGATATTTAGAAATAATGGAAAGCAGGTCGACTGTGCAGCCACGGCTTCGCCCTCCCACTCTCGCATTTGCGTGGTTTCCGCGAAGATTAGCTTCCAGCTCGCCGCATGCACTATCGTCCTTCTCTTACCGCCGCCGCTTCTCTCTCTTAGCTTGGTTCTTCTTCCCGCGCATCGATGACCTCGAAAGTGGGCATCAGTTTGCCAGGGATCGCACGCGCGTGGGCAGGTATGAGCTCGGGCGAACTCTTGGCGAGGGCAGCTTTGCCAAGGTCAAGTTTGCTCGCAACGTGCAGACCGGCGAAAACGTCGCCATCAAGGTCCTGGACAAGAACCAGGTCCTCCGCCATAAGATGGTCGAGCAGGTTCACCCGCTCTTTCTCTTTATTGCTCCACATCCTTAATTTCTCTGGTTGATATTCTTGAGGTTCATTTCAGGCTCTGTTGAGTAAATAATTATCTTTTTTAGGAGCTGGTGATGTTTCTTAGTTGTGTGATCATTGGTTCCTATGTTAATTTGGCCATCCCCCGTCTTATCCTTGTAGAATGTAGATTGTTGTGTTCTGCGTCAAAGTTTGGCATTGTTCAATGAAAGGGTGAATATTGGTTTCAGCCTATTTTAAGATCAGACCCTGTGGAAATATATGGCTGTTTATGGTTTCAAATTAAAATTGTTGATTCTTTGCATGATATTGGATCGATGCATGGTTGTGTGTTTGCATAATCTACTGGATGTAATTGGAATTTAGGACACAATTTTGAACCCTTTTTCTTTTCTTTTTCCAACATCTTGATTGCTTGGATAGTGATACAACTTAACCGCAAAAATTAAATGAAGATTTGAGAACACACAAAGTAGAGATTACAAACACAAGACACATAGGTTTATATAATTAGGACAGAATCACCTATGCTCACAATCGCACAGAGATCGGATATTCTGTAAGTTCAAAGGAGGGGCAAATCAAGAATACCCTTCAAGTGAGACTATCTTCTGCAGTTGTGACGTCCAATAGATTACAATGCCACCCAAAGTAAAGATGTACTTAATAGTACTTGTGTTTCAGTCTTTGCATAGATCTGAATCAATGTAGCCTTGTAGTTTTTGGTGAATCGGTCTAAATCTTAGAGAATAATTGATTGTATCCTTAAGATAGAACAATAGTCATTCGCCAACTTCTCAATACTATTTGTTTTGGATTAGACATCTATCTGCTAATTGCTCTGATTGCTTATGCATTATTTGCTCTGATACAAATAATTGCATACATGAGTGATCCAATGACTAAAGCGTTAGGGACTTTGGCTATGTACTCATATATCTCATTAGTTTTTGGCTTTTCTTTAGAAAATATGAAGTAGCTAGCTAGTTTTGCGCTTACAGTCTTTGCCTTTGTAATATTGAATTTGTCTAGTATTTTCAATTAACTATGATTGTGAAAAACTTAGGATACTTGTGGCCTATTGCTATCTATTTTCATCTCGAGAATCTTTTTAGCTTCCCCTAAATTTTCATTTCAAGCTCCTTTTATAGTTGTTTATAGGTCATTAATCTTTTAAATATTAGTTCCTACAATTAATGTCATTCACATACACATACAATAACATAATAATACTATCTTTTTTAGTTCATTTGACATAATAGTAGCTGTTGGTGTTGCATCGATAGAGTTTGATCATATGTATGAACCTAAATTTTGGTAAAATTTGTGAGTTTTTTTTTTTAATCCAGAAAGACTTTTTTTAGCTTGCGCAAATGACTTTTTTTTTTCCTAAGTTCAATAAAGCCTTTGGGTTGCATAATGTAGATGTTTTCCTCTAAGTCATCATGGTGGAAAACTATCCTAATATTTATTTGCTCTAGATATAGATTATCTACTACTACAATGCTCAGCACTAGATGAATAGTCATTAGCTTAACAACATGTTAAAACATCTTTGTAAACTCTATACATTTTTTTATGTTTGAACCTCTTTACAATATGCCTTGCATTATAATTTTTGGTTTATGTATGTTCTTCTTTTACTTTGTATATTCATTTGTTTGGAAATACCTTTTTCCTTTACGTAGCTTAGGGCTCGTTTGGTTCCACGTAATTCCTCCGTTTTTTGTTTGAAACGGAAAACTAAGTTGATGGAACATGTTTGGATGTGAAGCATACTTTTTCAGAAACTCCGTTTCTCTACTTTTTTGAGAAGTTTTATGTATTAGCTTCTCCGTTTAAAAAACTCCATTTCTCCTATTGACGTTTTTGAAACCGAAACGGGAAATAAACCAAATGAAGCCTTAGTCAATAGCCAAATGTTGTTTTTGTGAAGAGACTCAATCTCTTCTATCAAAAACAACAACAACAACATCAAGCCTTTATGAATTCATAAAAAGAAATATTTGACATAGTTTTTTACCTGTATGGCTTCATTATAACACTCAAGTTCTTTCGTATATTTAAGCAACATTTAATAAAGAAAAGGATAATAGCAATTAGTCGGGTTGTTAACTCTTTGTGACCTTTTGACGGTTACGAGTGTGAGAAGCTTAGGTTGCTCCTAAGCTTCTTATGGTATATTGGCCTCTGTTTTGGCATAAGTGGCTCCTCCAGCTTAATATGTTATGGAGTGGAAGTTTCATTAGTTGTAGTGGTTGACTGGTTCTTATACAATACAAATCCATTGAAAATAGTATTTCTACCTGTGAGGCTATGATAATTCTTTTATCTTCATTATCCCAAATTCCATCATTGAAGTCATCTTCATTAAATCCAATGAAGTTGAATTTATTGGACTTTGAGTTAAGCTTATATTCGAGGACCTGATATGATAGACAATCGAAGACCTTTAAAATCATAAATATAATTATGTGCCTACCCAAGCTTTTGAAGGTCCAAAGTTAATTATAATCGACCTTCCACAGTTGATTAAATATGATGTTGCATTTACTGGATCCATCAAAGAGGCCTTGGGAAGACCTGTATTCAGTTTCATACTCTTTACATGTTCATTAAGATGTATTTTTTGTCCTCTCAACTACTCCACTTTTTTTTTTAGAGCTCCTTAGATTGTTCTCTCAATTTAGGTCCATTAAATTACATTATGTGGAGTTATTCAGGGGCTCACCATCGACAATTAACACTTTGCCATAATCGCACAAGTATGACATTGTGTGCCTTGTTTATGATTCTTCATCCCTTTTTTTTCATTATGTGCTTAGGCTTGTTATAATGCGAACATCCACCAATGTCATCTTAAGACTAGATGGCCTTGTTGGATGGTCAGTTGGTCACATTAAATATAGAGCATAAAGGTTTTAAAGATATGTAGTTTTTGTACTTTGGTTAGACTGAATAATATAAGTATTTTGAATAATTCATACTGGTGTGTATAATATGAGTCTTATTAGCAAGTTTGCTAAATAATTTACATTGCCACATGACACATGATACTTGCATTTCTCCTTCTTTTATATTTGAGTTTTATCCATCACTTCAAATTCATCCACAATGAAACTAGACTTCTCTCTATGGGGGATCACTATTGAATTTTATTTTTGCATCCATCAGATTAAAAGAGAGATTTCCACCATGAAGCTGATAAAGCATCCAAATGTTGTTCAACTCTATGAGGTATCTTTGATTTTATTCTCTTTGTTTGAATGTTCTTTGAGGATTTATTTCATGATGACTTGCAATTACTGATTTGTTCATTTTTGTTTGAAAACACCCTAATCTCCATATTCTTAGAGTAGTTTGGTTGTAATATTTTTCTGATTATATTTTATCCAATTGACTTTTAAAGCGCTGGGTATGTGCCAGAGGAGCATCTATTGCCTTGATGTGCTTGAACATATGGCTTGAAAGCAAACCTTGGCATGCATTCTGACAGTCTTATTGCAGCACATATTCCTTCTACTCTATCGGAGATTATAGTCAACAGTTTAATTAGCACCTGATTGCTAGTTTTTAAAGTTTAGTTTTATTTTCATTAGTCATCAGTTGTTCTTTTTTTTTTTTTTTGAAATTTACTCTTTTGCTGACTGTGAGCTGGTGAATGTACTTCTTAAGTTATTGTCGCCTAGATTTTAATGCTAGATCATATCTTCTGATGGTAAAACTTTCATAATCTCCAGGTTATGGCCAGTAAGACAAAGATATATATTGTTTTGGAATTTGTTGATGGAGGCGAATTATTTGACAAAATTGTAAGAAATTTTTCCATAATGCATACTAGATGGCTTTCATGCAAATAAACCTAATATATTTCTTTCTCTTCATTCAAATTAGCGTCGTAGATTAGACTTACAGATTATGAGTTTTCCACTTATATAACTTACTTATTTCTTTGCTTAGGTTAATAGTGGAAGACTTAAAGAAGACGAAGCTAGGAGATATTTTCATCAACTTATCAATGCAGTAGATTACTGCCACAGTAGAGGTGTATACCATAGAGACTTGAAGGTTGGTCAAGTTCATATTTAATTATTTTCTGTTTAACATTTTTAATGTGAATATTGTTTTACCTTCATATGTTTTCAGCCGGAAAATTTACTCCTTGATTCCAGTGGCACTCTTAAAATATCTGACTTTGGTTTGAGTGCATTTGCTCAGCAAGTTAAAGTAAGTTCATTTCTAACATGAGTATTTCCTTATAGGATATTAGCTTCTGGTTAGTTTTACTAAAAAAAATAAGGATTTTATTTTATTTATGACATATTAATTATCATTTCCCATGCAATAAGTCATGGCTAATGCACTGCAATCGGTGTTGAATACTACAAGATTTCACCACAATTTAGAAGTTAAAGTACTTATGATGGTTTTCTTTGGACTCATGATTTACATCCTTCCATAATCATACTTTTGGTGAGCAATTATCTCCATGAATGCTGTTTGATGTACGCTATTGATACTTGAATGTTTGATGAGTGGGCATCGAAGTTGCACAAAGGTATAAGCGGCAATGCTGATTGAGAAACGGGCACGGATGCTTGTGAAGAGTAATAGGTGATGATGTTGGCTATCACCAACTGAGAGCTGGGCATTGAAGCTTTGTAAAAAAGCGCATTTGATGGTGTCAATTAAGGAGTGAGCATTGAAATTACGCAAACAGATGCAAGTAATGATGCCAATTGATGAATGGGAGTCGAATTTGTAATAAAGGTACACGAAAGACAATGTAAGCAGTGAAGTGGTCATCACAGTAGTTTGAAGAGGATTAGACAATGAATCCGTATTGTTGATACCTTTTAGGGGTTAACGATTGAGTAAGCATGAGCACATGCTATCATCTTTGACTTGAATTTGGTGTCTTGTCAACTTTGTGCATTATCATTATCTATTTGACCCCTCCCCCACCCCACCCCACCAATAGGCCAAAAAAAAAAAAACTGTGAGTTGAGGAGTTTTCTGATGTCCATAGTTGTTGAAATACTAAGAGTTGACCTTTTGGAGATCTCTATAAAAGCTGGTAGCTCCTTGCATAGGGGTACAAATCAATAGCTTTGTGTTGCAATAATTAGTGGTAGCGGGAAGATTTTCCATGAATGGAGCAAGATCGTTGAATGCTAGAAATGATCTTTAAGTGTAAAGTGTGGATAAAATTTGGAAAATGATGAATAAGATCTAACTGTCGATAAAATTTGGAAAATTATATATGTGTGTGTGTGTGTTAATTTAGCAGAAAGGGGGTGCTTATTTGTAGTTATCAAACAATTTGGCATGATTTATTTTTATCCAGCTACACCAATCACCTTCAAGCTTGTTGATTTATTTTTGTCAGCTCCCATCCTTTCTTTTGTGAAGGAATTATTGGAATTGACATAAAAAAATTCTGCTAGATCTTGTCTTAACAAGTTAATGCTCCGATGTGTTGGAATTATCTCTTGATGTTAACAGATTAACTAAGGTTTCAAATTCAGGTTTTACTCACCTTTGAACTATCTTGTCTACAATTCCTGCAATAAGTATTTTCTTAAACCTAACTAACGTCCATAATTATGCCATAATTATTTAAATAGATGCTTTCAATCCATAATATTATGAAAAAAAAATCACAGAAGATTGCTGATACAAAACCAATTATTTTCTTTTCTTTTTCTTTTTTTTTTAATTTCCTTGTTGGATTTTTATCCTTTCTCCATGTTAATTTTTCATGTTATCTTGACTTTTAGAAAATGATTTGTCCATGAATTAATTGAGTAGTTTATCCTAAAGATGACGATTGATAATAGAAATGTCTGTTTACTTAGGGAGATGGCCTGCTACATACTGCATGTGGAACTCCAAATTATGTTGCTCCTGAGGTTTGTCAAATAGCTTTCTTTCTGGTTGCATCATTCACATTTTACTTTGGTTCACGCCAGAAACCACTTTTTAGAGTCTTCATTTAATTAGGTTCTCGATGATAAAGGTTATGATGGAAGAGCTTCTGATATATGGTCTTGTGGTGTGATTCTATTTGTCCTAATGGCTGGATACTTGCCGTTTGATGAATCCAACCTCATGGCTTTATATAAGAAAGTAAGATCTGCAAAATTATTTTCTCTGCCCTCTCTGTATATGGTAACTTATTCAGAAAACTGATCTTCTTAACTGTAGATCTGTAAAGCAAAGTTTTCAAGTCCATCATGGTTTTCTTCTAGTGCAAAGAAGTTGATTAAACGGATTTTAGATCCAAATCCTCTTTCTGTGAGTGTCTTATCCACTTCTATCTCAAAATTGTCATAGCCAACATACTTTCCTAATTTTGCATCACATTATTCTCTTGGAAACAATTTGGATTGTATATGAACTAAATTTTGATTTGGATATATCCCAAACTTATTGAATTTACTTTGAGATGAGCGTAACATATAGATTATTAATCAAAATTTATATTTCACTCATCTCAAAAATAAATTTGATGGCTTTGAGACTCATCCTAATAAGAAATTTTGTTGGTTAGAATATCTCGAGCTAATTTTTTTCATTGTTGTGGTCATAGCGGATTACAATTGCAGAAATATTGGAAGATGAATGGTTCAAGAAAGGTTACAAGCCAGCTAATTTTGAGCAAATGGAAGGGGTGAGCCTGGATGATGTTGATGCGGTCTTCAATGATTCACAGGTAATAATTCAGTTGCTCTTACTTCCGTTGTAAAATTTTACTATGATGCCAAAACTCGCCAGTATTAAAGCAGGATTCCTTCTGAAAAGTTAATATGAGAATAACGTTATGTAAGCAATGCAATTAATATTCTTAGTTATCCATTTTTCCCCCTAATCTCTCATGGGACAAGCATTTCCTTGCCACTTGTTTTGCAGGAACATCTCGTGACTGAAAAGAAAGAAAAACCAGAATCAATGAATGCATTTGCACTTATTTCAAGATCCGAGGTCTTCAACCTCGGGAATTTGTTTGAAAAGCAAACGGTATGCTATAATGACGGCATTCCCTATGTGCTTGACTTGGACTATTTATTTCCTTTAGAAAGTACTTGTATTGGCAGCTTTTAAATATCCGCTCAAGCTAAGAATGATAGATATTTTGGGAAGACCAAATTTTGTTGCCAAAAGTTTGTCGTGCTGCTTAGTAATTATTTTAGAAGTTTTATCAACATAAAATGCGTAATATTTGCACTTGTTCTTTAGGATTTTGGTTGTGACTATTTGTCGTTCCTAGCCATAGGTAGCTACCATGCTTGTAAATGCGTAAAATTTATGATGCTGTTGACCTGCTGTATAACAAAAAAAAAAAAAAAAAAAAAATCAAAATCAAATCCACGTACCTGCCGTCGCACGTCGTTGCCATAAGTACGTCGTCACTGCTCTTCGCACGACGAGGCCATACCTCGCGTGGCTTCTCCCCACGACTTCGCACGACGAGCTCGCGTCGTTAAATGGACCTTCGACCTCTTTTCACGGGTGTTGGCTCTCCCTCCTCTCCCGAGCTCCCTTCTGCGACCGAGCCTCCAGACGGTCGAAACCCCTAATCCTGATCTCCTCTTCGCCTTCGAAGTCGAGATCCAGCGAGCTCTTTCCGCCTGTAGGTCACGATCGACCTCAAGCTCGAGTGCCGACTTCTCCTTGGTCGTCCGACTCCGCACCTTTTGCGACTTTCCCTTCCTCTCCGGTCGGAATTAGAATTGAATTTAATTAATTATATATAATTAATTAAAAATAATTTATTTATTAATTATAATTAATTAATATTAACTATAATTAATATAAAAGAAAAATGTGCCCCTCCCTTGCCTCGGTCCACGAGCCTTCACTGTCAAACCCGCGAAGGTACGAATTTTCTAAACTCAGATTCTCGATTTCGTTGTTTGCAGCGGACCGGAAAATCGCCTATACACGCCTTTTTTGTGCATGGTGGGATGGGACCCCGGTCCGACGCCTACGACGAGGCGAGCAATCGCCTAAACTCTACCTCGGTGTTCGTGGCGCACCGAAAAATCGCATATACACTCCTTTATTGCGCGTGGTGGGATGGGACCCCGATGCGTTATCTACGACGAGGCGGGGTTACTCATTAGTACCCTCAAGAGAGGGGAAAGCAAACTGTGCATTTTTAAACAGGTCCCGAAGACCTCATACACGCCTTTATTGCGCGTGGTGGGAGGAAAGAGCACGGCCGCAGTGTCCTCGTCCGAGGACACCTACCATACACGCCTTTATTGCACGTGGTGGGAAGGCCCAGTTTCTCGTAGTTTTCCCCTAAATGGGGGAGACGCCGGGAGGTTTCCAAAATTTCGGGTGAATGTACGATCACACTCGGACATGTTTGAACTCAAAAGAACAAGAACCTGCACTCAGATGAACTTGAACAGTAGACTTGTGGACAGTCGAACTTGATTGAACACAAGCAGAGGACCTGAACATAATTTAAATGATTAATAAATATCAAATTCAAAATGAAATGAAATCAAAGTTGGAAACAAATTCAAATCAATCTGAACATGAAATTGTACCTGCAAGGACTCCAGAAGACTTTGAACAAAATATGAACATGTAATTGAACTCAAAGGATTGCAGGGGGCTCGAACCTGACTAGTACATCAAACAAAGACCTTGATTTGGACTGGATCTGAGCTTGAACAAGCAATTACATTTAAGCAAAATAAAGCAACAAACGGACTTATACAAGTCCTAAATTTGAATCAAATGATGAAGATTTTGCTACCAAAGCCAGTCAACTTGCAAGTGAACCTGTATGTTAAGCTCAAATTACGTTCAAACTCGGCATGAATGATACAAGAACCTGAGCGGTCAAGAACAAGAAGGGATTCAGTCTTGCATTTGATCCGGACAAAGAAAATGAACTCGCACTTGAATTCGTGCTATATAGCATTAAGTGGGGGTTGTAGACTCCATGAACCCAAGTCTAAATAAAACTTAACTCAAACTCAAACATACACAAAGGGCAAAGCTTGAGTCATATATGAGGGAGCTCAAATTATAAGAGCATTCATACGGCCAAAAGTGACTCAAAGTACATTACAAGACCTCAATGAAATAGACTCTTACCATAGTCCCTCCAATGCCTGTTGATTGAAAAAGGCAACACTACCATTTGACAGTAGAAGATCCGTCCTTGCAAGCAAGTATAATCGCTGATATGGTACTGGTGCAAATGACTCTCCTACGGACATTTTTTTAAAAGATCGTACCAAATATGATCCATACCTACAAAATGCAATCATTAAACCCACATGAGATTGGTGAAAGGTGGATACGATGTAGGCAACAATGACTCTTCTACGAATATTCCTAGAAGCTCGTAGTGGATACAACGGGTCTCCGCAAATATATACAAGACACTTGTGGATAACAACAGTGGATACATCGTAAGTATAATGAACCATTGTGGGCACAAGTACAAGCATCACCAATGACAGTGATGATCAAAGTGCTGTCAATATACTGGGTACAAAGGCAACCCGATGTACGAAAAGAACACCTCTGGTAGAATGGAAGAGATGTTTGAACAAATTAGAACCAAACTTTCTGGTGTTCCAAAGTCTCTTCTTAGTTCTATACTTGATAAGAAAATAGTTCTGGTGCCCACAAACACTGAAAATAGCAAGTCCACTACACCGAAGAGCCTAAAAAGAGTTCTTTCCAAATCAACAGTCATTGACCCCAAAGTCCAGAAGAACCTTCCCCGGTGAATGAGAAAAGAGGGGGAGTCAATATCAAAATGAGGTGATACCTCCTAATATCAAGATCAGATCGCCACCGGATCTGTAATACTTATGCGAGCAGACGGAAGACGTCCACAAGACTACAACATGACGTCATCGGATCTGCAACACCTATGCAAGCAGATATAAGGCGTTTACAATCTACAACGCCACGCCACCAGATCTGCAACACTTTTGCAAGCAGACAGAATGTGTCTGCAATCTACAACGCCACGCCACCGGATCTGTAACACCTATGCAAGCAGACAGAAGGCGTCTACAATCTACAATGCCACGCCACCGGATCCGCAATATTCATACAAGTGGACAGAAGACGTCTACAAATACTTTCAAAGTACCTCTACACGTGCACTATAAATTGTATACACATAAGTACACTAAAGGGGTATACAATCAAACACCCGCATAGGCCCCAGCAAGCGTGTTATTGGTATACATGTGACGCTTAGCGATGTTGCGCGGGTTGACAAGTGAATTCTAGTTCGAACCTGATCCTTCTATACGGATCTATAGGAGTCGATAGAGTTCGAACCTTTAAACAAATAGACGGTTGTGGCGACCAGTGTATTTGTTTTAATACATTCATATTAGGTCTTTAAGGCCTACAATCAAAAGAATTCACTAAACAAATGCACAAATCCTACGAGAAACCCGATCCTTGGTTAACAGCTCAGCCGAGTCAACAAGGTTCAAGCTACAAATAGAATAACCCCAAACACCCTGATGATGGTCGTGTTAATTGCAGATCTCAACCGGAGTGGTTCACAAATATTTTCATATGCCTCCCAAAAGTCCATTCAAAATCCAACAAATCCCAAAACTCCAAGATATTTAAATTCAAAATAAATCCATCAATAACTTAAACAAAATCCATCCACCCTCCGCAATAGTTTGCCGAGGTGGATAAATTAAAATTTGCTTCAACTCACAAAAAAGCTAAATTCCTAGTCGAAAATATCACTAGGATCTATTCTCAAACAATCTCTTGCCAATAAGGACGTGGTACGTGTCCTCTAACCGACGGTTTTGCCGCCAAATGGCACCGCAGGATAAACGGTTATGACCCGGAGCCCTCTGAACCGAGTGATTTTGCCGCTAAATAGCACCACAGATAGCGGTTATGGCCAGAGTCAATGCGTTCCTTATTGGCATCAAATCCTTGAGATATGAATCAATAGGATATGATCGATAGGGCACAAAGCCCTCTGTCAGCTAAGGTGGATTCAAATTTGTCCCCTTAGACAAACATTCCCCCTAGGTCTACAAGGTCCCCTTGGACGAAGCAAACCCATGAGCTGTCGACAATGATCCTTCTGTCAGGCTGGGTCGACTACCTCCTCTGACTAAGTAGACTAGGGACCACGATGGCCCGGGGCGACGGTACCATGGGATCATGATCAGGTACAGATGCTATTTATTTGTGATGTGAGATCGACATGAAATGCAAATTTTGCTTCTGCTCTTATGATTTTTGGCTGTGGCAAGGTATTCTAGCCAGTTTCCTCAAGTCTACTATATAAAATAAAGGCCCCCATTATGCCAATAAATAACGGGCATCAAAATTATGCTCTTCTTTTCAGGCTCCACTCATCAAATGCATGTGTTCTTCTCTAAAATTACAAGTTGTGAATTCTAAATTAACTAAGGTCATCTGCAGTTAATTCCTTCATCTTCTCTTCTTCTATGACTAACCTTTTTTAACCCAACAAAGTAGAAACAAAACTATTTCTGCTTTCAAGAACTTCTCGTTTATCTTTCTGCTAATCTTTATTTGCTATCTAGAGTAAATTTTCTATTGTCTGCTACTGCATTTCCTCTTATCGTTTGCTATTTTCCATTTGTTTTAGCATATTTATTTACCTCTCAGCTTGTGTTTTGATGCTCGGAATTTGCGTGAATGGACATAAAAAAAGGTTGAAAAGCTCAAATCAGTGGCTGCAAATTCAGAATCATCCCAAATTTTCTTTGAATTTCATTTCATTTCCTTCACTTAAATCCAAATACAACCTTAGGTTATTGACTTGGAAACTAAATCTCCCTTCTATGTGCATTGTTTTGAATAATCTGTTGTGCAAACAATCGCAACGGAAACAAAATCACACAACAAAACAATACAAAACACGGCGATTTATGTGGTTCGGCGAAGATGCCTACGTATACGGGGATAGGATGATGATTTCACAATCTTGAAAAACAATAGAAAATTACAATAACGCTCAAACTTTCTCTTATCTCATCTCTTACATTCAACAACAGCCTCAGGTCTCTATTTATAGATTTGAGCTAAAGTATATTAGTAAAAAGCTTACTAATATATCTTAAACATATTCCTATCAAATCCCTAATTAATGCAATAATTATATCTCCTAATTAATGCATCAATCAAATATTTAATTATTGCAATAATTAGATCCCCTAATTAATGTACCAATCAAATCAACTTAATTAGAGAAATTATCTATTCCGTAATCAATTACAATAATGAGCCATTAAAAGCTTATTTCTATTTGGAAATAATTTCAAATTAACAATCTCCACCTCATCTTTCACTTCTGAAAGTGGAAGATGACAATTCGACTCCAATATTAGAACGATTGCACCCAGATGGTTGCCTACGTATCCCCCCTCCCAAGGGATCAGGTCGAGTGTAGTTCTTCAAACAAGTGGACCATTAGTCATGACTCATGAGTTATGCACTACTGCCGTGGTGACTACATCTCTAAGCTGCATCAACTATACCCTTTAGATACCTCGGTATACTCTTCACAGCTTGCCAACGACTCCTTCCTGTATTATGTGGAGAATCAAATAATTAAAATCAAAATATTTAAAATAGAGATGGGTTAGAATCACCTACAGTGATCTAAGTAATTTTTACAAAAAGGGCAAAGCGTTCTTGCCGCTAAAAATCAGCCTTCTCCCTTTCTCTCTATTGTGCTGCAATTCAAACAAGAATTCAATTTTTTTCATTTTCAATTATTTTGAGAAATTCAGATTGTTATAATCAAAGCTTGGCTGGATCTTGATTTCTTCAACCTGTGACTCATCGTATCGACAAGGTTAACTCTAATGCTGGATGTTTTAGGTGTTGTGTAAATTAAGATGTTTGAAGTGGTATGCATATAAATCCCCTTTTTATTTATTTTTCCCAACTTTTTAAGATATGAAAGTACATGGTCATAACTCTATGTAATATCTGCCATTATTTTTAAAATCCTTTTTCTTGAGCTTCAAAATGTCTAATATTGCTTAATTGTGAAACATTAAGGTAATTTAGTATGATTCAACTAATAGCTTGTTATACTGTTACATTCTTCTGCATAATGTTTGAAATTTATAGGGGATTGTTAAGAGGGAAACAAGTTTTACTTCTCCGTGCTCTCCTAATGAAATAATGTCTAAGTTAGAGGAAACTGCTAAACCTCTTGGATTTAATGTGCACAAACACAACTACAAGGTACTTGCAATGTCATTAAACTTCATTATTTGTTCAAAAGCAACGATTATAATGTTTAATTTCTAGCTGATTTATTTTTTGGATAAAAAATTTAGTAATATTTAATGGCCATTTTTGCAGATGAAGTTAAAGGGTGATAGGAGTGGAAGGAAGGGATACTTATCCGTTGCAACTGAGGTATTCATAAGGCGTTAGTTGTAGCTTTTAAAAGCTAATGGAGATGAAAGAATTAGATTATTAAAAGAGTTAAGATTTGTTTCAGATGCAATTTTTTATCGAAGATATTATCATTTTCTGTTTTTTGAAAGATTGATGCACATTTTAGCATACCTGAAAACAACAAGCGTAATCCTGTCAGACATCTCAGTATCTTCATCAAGAGTGAATTTATTGAGCATTTCTCATTTCTGTGTATAATAAACAATAGTATTGCCTTGAAATTCTGGACACGGATAATCCTTTTTAGTAATGCGATTGCAGGTTGCTTCTACCGCAAGAACATCGTCTTTTAGCTTGGATTGCTCAATCGGACATCTTTTAACTGATTTTCAATCCCTTGAAGCGTTTCAACGTGAAACAGTGTTTTTTCAAATCTCTCAAAATGGAATCTGTTCCAAACATATATGCAATGGTTCCTTCCTTTGACAGGGTGCAAATATCTGAATTTCACCCTTTTAGATACTCTTTTAGACCCATTGCCGATACTGAGTAGTAGTCAAAAATTTGTATCCATTTTTCATGATATGATGCAAGGATCACGACCAATTCCTCAGGCTCTGTTGGTTGCGAGGGAAAATTATAAATGGCATAAAAGGGTGGAGAGAACGTGAAAAGAAATTTGGAAGTATAATTTCCTTTGTTTAGAGAAACAATATTAGGTAAATGTTTTAAGACATTTTGCATGTCCGGCCACCAACAAGCTGAAGCTCTGGCCGGCAGAATGCTCCATCTGGTTGCCAGGAGCTCTGATCATCCATGTTAGAGCCTTTAATATTTTTCCAGTAATATTTCACGTTAAATTGGTCGAAAAAGTTGTAGGAAAATCTCGAGGTTGATATATTTTAGTTGAGTTTTCTGTCTTTTAGGCCCATTGGTGATTTGCAGATAAAAATATATATATTAGAAGATGCTGAACTGGGCAAGATTTCATCATCTGGTTAGATTTTCGTAGAAATAAACCTTAATTTTCAACTTCATAAATCACTCAAATATAATTATTTTATTTTCACACAAATTAGGTGAAAACTAAATTATCACTTCAGCATATTTTTTTTTCTACAAACAACTAAATAACCCATTTAATTATATCTTAAATAAACAACATGAATGAGTATGAAACACACATTCCTTTTTTGTTAGCCTTATACAAATTTCCTTGGAACCTAACACGGCCTAATGTTCTGCTCTACCATGCTCCCAGGTTTTTGAGGTAGCCCCTTCTCTTCACATGGTTGAGCTTCGCAAAACCGGAGGTGACACACTGGAGTTTCACAAGGCAAGTCAATTTGTACTTAATAAGTTCGAATTTTGAGACTTAGGCTTCATTTGGGGCGGCTTTCTTTCTGCTTCTTAAAGCAGTTTTCTAGTAAAAAATTGCCAAAAAGTTGTTTTAAGAAGTAATAAGAAAACCGTCCCAAACGAAACCTTAAATTCCATCTGAGTTTCTGATGATCACAACATGCAGTTCTATAAGAAATTTTCCACGGGCATCAAAGATATTGTCTGGAAAACTGGAGCAACCCACGAAGAAACAAGGTAATCATCTATCAACTTGTACATATATATCAATTTTTCCTCTGTTTATTTCATGTTGAATTGTGAGTAAATATTATTGATTGGGGAAATTTATCGTAAGTTGAGCATTGATTAACTTTGCTCATCTGTCACAGTTCTCGGCCAATCTAATGCAGAACTTTTGACTTTGTTTGTATATATGATTTGATGAACATTTCTTTATGTAATATATATAAAAGATATTGTGGGATCTATATAACTAGCAAATGATTTGCCTTCGTTGTCTACAACCAGAAGTCTGGAAATGCAAGAATTTTTTTTTCATGTTTTTATGTCGCATATTTTTCTGCCATTTTGGTCTACATTTTTTGTTAGTTAAGAAAAAATAATGCACAAGACCTACGGAATATTTAGAGTCTATTTGGGACAACTTTTTCATTACTTTATTTTCTTAGATCGCAACTACTTTTTCATTTGCTACTGCCTTCTCATTACTTTTCAGAAATTTTTTGGCAGGAATCTAATTTTAATAGCCCAACTTTTTGTTTGAGGTAGCTTTAAGAAATCAGCTTTTTTTCATTCCTTAAAAAGAATATATTTATAGGCTTCGTTTGGAACGGCTTTCTTATTGTTTCTTAAAGTAGCTTTCGAGTACAAAATTTTTTTTGTACTCGGAAGCTGATTTAAGAAGCAGTAAAATAGCCGTCCCAAACGAAACCATAATATCCGCAATAACTTAAAAAAAAAGTGCTTTCCCATGAACAGCTTTGGCATCGTTTGGCCCGGCGTTCTTACTATTTTCTAGAATATATATTTATTTTTTTAAAAGTGGCTAAAAAATAGTGGCCAAAAGCCATCCCAAATCGATTGCAGTGTTGCAAACAAAATAAATAATCAAATCTCTCTTCTGAAGTTCTAAATGCTACGATAATAATATTCATTTTGTTTGTATCATGACAGTGATGGGAGTATCAATGAGCAATAATTTGTGGCATTGTCTCTAGCTTTTTTGAATGGGCTTCAATAATTCAAAGTAAATGAAATTAGTGTAGGAGATTATGAAATTTACAAACATACCACTTTATAACATTCTATTTACATATCTAATATCCAAAACTTTAATATTATATGCATATTATCCTATATTATTTTAATATCAAATATATCACTTATATTTATTTCCTACCACTCATATATTTTATTTCTATCACTCATATTTGATATGAAAATGAACTATGGGTGGCATGTATGTAATATTAAAATTTTAAGTGTTAAATATGTAAATAGAATAGTATAAGATGGTATGTATGTAAATCTCCCATATAAATATTTGGGAAGGTTGAGTGGTTTGATTTAATTCTACATTTTTTTAATATTACTAAGTATTGAGATCCATTTGCGGATCTTGCAACGGCCGTCCTTTGAATGTGTTAGCTATGAATTGTTCGCGAAGCAGCTTAAGCTTTCCTACCTCTGCGAGACATTAACAGACAATAGAAGGCTTACTTTTTTGAATGCTTGTTTTTCTTATTTGATTATTTGTTTACCGTCAATGCCACCTACTCGTATATATTAGTTTTGATGATATTAAAGAAAATAAATAGTTTTCTATTTGGGATAGTTTTTTCAATATTTTAATTTTTAGATTGTAGCAATCATAATTTGATTTGATTATTATTTAATTATTATTTTCTCACAATTTTTAAATTTTTTTAGGATGAAAATTTAATTTTTGTAACTAGAATAATTAACGCTCAGTTTGGGATGGCTTTCTTATTGTTTTTAAAAATATTTTTTTAGTATAAAAAATAAAAATTTTCTTTTAGAAAGTCGCTTTAAGAAGCAGTAAGAAAGCCACCCCAAACTTGAGATAATTTTCTTATTACTTCTTAAAGTAGTTTTTTGATATAAAAATTAAAAATTTTGCATCAGAAAGTTGCTTTAAGAAACAGTAAGAAAGTCGTTCCAAATGAAGCCTAATTTAGTTTTCTCATAGTAATTTTATAATCAAATTTATAAAAAATTATAGCCATCTCAAACAAATCTTAAATTTATATCAATGATAAACAAATTGATAGAAATATTCTGGTATTGCTTTTTTTATTATTTTTAAATATAAAATCCAAATAACATTAAAATTAGTAATACATCAGATTTCAATAAAATTTAAAAATATTTGATCATTAATTGAATGCTTCTAATTTTTTATAATGAATAATTTTAATTGCATGAAAAAATAATCATAATCTAAAATAAAACACATTTTAAATGGCTTAAATTAATTTTCGCTTACATTAGAATATTTTGATCGGTGAAATCTTCAGTAAAATTTACTTCTGTATGCCATCTGACCGTCTATTTCTTACATGATCTTGAAATTAATAAAATTTATTCTGCCTATAATATTTATACTGCAATTCACAATCATCCGTGCAATATAAGTTTGAAAATTATAAGAAACGGCAAAGGAAACAAAATCTTATCTTCCTAAACTGATAAAAATTTACAATTCAATTAGCTCAAAGTTAAAAAATAAAAAATAAAACTCTACTCTTATATACGAGAAATAATTATGTGTGGACGTCGAGCACTTTTCTAAATTCGGAAACCAATCAGAATGAGTCACGTCAGCAATATAAGCTCGGTATTGATCGGTATCCAACCGCAATATCGATGTGGCTCATTCTGATTGATCATTGATCTCTGAATGATATTCGACGTCCCATTTAATCAGTTAAAAAATTTAGCTACTAATTAAAAGATTTTGAATTCAAAATTTATATATGTGATTTGAATTTTTGGCCTAACTGTCTTGAAAAAAAAAAAACTCTTATGTACATAATTGTTGCCGTATTCAGAGGCCCAGACTGATCAAAGCTCGGCCAGTCACTTCACGTGGCCATGCCCCGCGAGCAGGCATAATTAATGGTCCAAGCCTCCAAGGAGATTCAAGCGCAAGAGGCTAAAAGATCCAAACTAACTGCTCTACAGTGTATCAACCAATTACAAAAGAGATATTTTTTACTTTAACATGAATTATTTAATATATTATACTAATGCTAGTGCATTTTTTTAAAGCGACACGTTATATAGTTTGAATGTTGCGAGAATTGTGTAAAACTCGTGCAACGAACGATCTCAGTGGTGGGATAAAGACTTGATGTTGTTGTTAGGGGTGTAAAAATTGTTTAGGGGTGCAAAAATTGGATTCGGGTCGAACCCGATTCTGACTTGCTACTGTTTGAGACGATCAAAATCTGAACCATTTTTGCAAACGGATCAGAAAATTGAACCCGGACCCGACACATTGAATTTCTAGGTTGACCTAACCAGACACGAAACCACGGGAGTAAAAAAGTTACCTTCGCGACAAGTGAGCTCCATCGTTACTTTCGATCCAACGATCCCTCCCATCATCGTCGTTACTTTCGATCCAATGATTCTCCCGTCGTCGTTGTTTCAAATGGCGAGTTGTCATGACCTCTGGCCCGACATATGGAATGGCATCGAAGGAGGCAAGCTATATGCCATCGTGACTTCCGACCCGACAGAAGGCGGCATCGATTCATCGAACCTCGAAGGAGGCAAGAATCGTGACTTCCAACCTAATAGAAGGCGGCGTCGAAGCTGCCTATTGTGACTCGTGACTTCCAACCTGACCTAAGGAATGATGTTGAAGCAGATGAGCTGATGAGTTGTCGTGACCTCCGACCTGATAGAAGGAACTTAGGAACGACGTCGAAGGACGGAAGGTGGTGTCAAAGCCTCAAAGGAACAGTTTAGGCGTTGAAGGAACAAGTTGAAGTCGAAGAAACGGGTTGGTTTTGGGTTGAATTCGAATTTTCAGGTTGACCTGAATCCGATCGAAATTTGCAATCGGACCAGGATTTTAAATCTGAACTCGACCCGTTTCTCAAATGGGTTGACCCTAACTCGAAAATTTTAGGTCGGATTTGAGTTAGATTTTTAGATCGTGTTAAATATTGACACTTTTTTTGTTTTAATATATCAATAAAAAAATTTCTCAAATAAAAAAGCATGGAATTCTCATTTTAATCGGTCCAGCTAATAAATTAAAGCCCCAATTAATTTTTTTTTTCTATAACAATAGCTGTGGTCCACACAATTTGCAGCACGTCGATCTCTTGCGTGGTCCACCTAATCCTCACCAATTTCATGGTGGGGTCTTCCCATAGATCACTATTTACTTAGTAATTTGAAATATTATAATTTTTATATGCCACAAAAATTATTATACTGTCCATTCATATTTGTTTATATTTATTAAAAAAATAACAAATTTATTTTATATTAAATAAACTAATTGAATAATAATAATATAATTTTATTAAAAAAAATTAATTTATATTAGAGAGATTTACTTACATATTAATATATATCTGATACGTCATCACAAAATTAGCTTGATCGGGCACGAATCTCGTGGCAAAAGCTAGTTGGAGACTTCAAAAATTAAATCCGGGAGCATCCGAACTCCGATTTCAACGAGCTTACAGTCAAACTGAGCGTCTCGGAAATACGAACCCA